GCCACGTTGGCCACGTCCAAGTGGTTGGTCGGTTCGTCCAGCAACAAAATGTCGGCCTTCATGAGCATGGCGCGGGCCAATTCGAGCTTCATCTTCCATCCCCCCGAGAGCGACCCCACGGCTTGCGCTTGCATCGGGTCGGTGAACCCCACAGACGAAAGCGTGTCCGACACTTCCTTGCGGGACAGCACGCCCTCAAAGTTGGGGTCCTTGGAGATAAAGTCCAGCACCGACAGGTCGGCTTCCTCCGCTTGCAAGTTGTGCTCGACGTACACCGTGCGCACTTCGTCCTTGGACGGGAACCCTTCCAACTGGCCGTTCGCGATCGCGCGCATGAGCGTCGACTTGCCGGCGCCGTTGGGGCCACACAACCCGTACCGGTGGCCCTTCTTGAGCTGCAGACGCGCGTTGTTGAGCAGGATCATGCCACCGTACGCGAGCGAGAACTCGCAGTCGCACAAGTCTTCACCCACGTCTTCTTCGATCACGTCGTCGGCGATCTTGAGCTTGTTGTCCTTGAAACACTTTTCACGAAAGTCCTTGGTCACGTGTGGGATCTCGTGCTCGTCCAGGAACGCGAGCAGGTACGGCTTGACCGACTGGGACCACTTTTCAGGGATGAAGCTGCGGGCCAGCGTCAGGTAGAACCCGTTCCCGGCCACGTAGTTGAGCGTGGCTTCGTCAATGTGCGCGTTCTTGGCGGCCGGGATCTTGGCGATGATGACCTTCAACGCGGCCAGCACGGCCGAGAACTCGACCTTGCCTTCGTCCTCGCTAAGCTCGACGTTCCCCGCGGCCATGAGCAGCGTGCTGTGCGCGCGCTTGACCACGTCGCGGCATTCGGGGTCGGCCACCGACTCGATGATGCGCTTCAACGTAGGCAACACCTTGGGCGTGAACAACAGCGCTTCGGCAGGGTCTTCGACCAGCTTGCACATGTTGTCAATGATCACCGCGGTCTGGCGCTTCACCGACGTCTTGTTCTCGTTCAACCCACGCACCAAGAGAGGCTCCATGATGGCCAACGCGGGGGATTCCACCGTCTTGACGAACGTCGTGGACGCCAACTTGTGCACGCACTCGGCCACTTGGGTCGGGTCAGCCATGGCAGACACCAACGCAGGGATGAACGGCTCAATGTCCGCGTTCGACGCCGTCGAGCACGCCTTGATCATCACGGCGTTCGCGGCCTTCTTCACCTCCGGACGCGTGTCCCAGATCTGCTCGATCGCCTTGGGGATGATGTCGGGGAGGTTGCGCGACACTTGCACCGGGTGCAACGCGCAAAAGTCGAGGATCAAGTTGAGCGCGCCTTCCTTGGTCTGCCACTTCTTGATGCGGTCCAGACCTTGAAAGATCAACGGCAACACAAAGCTGAGCGCGTTCTCGTTGAACGACTGCACCAACGCCACGGCGGCTTCTTGGGCCGGGCCGCGCACGTTCAGCTTCTTGTCCGCGTACGCGTCCAACAAGTTGGGCAACCACCCGGCGGTGTACGCTTCCACGCGGCGGTCCTTCTTGAGCGCGATCGAGGCCACGACGCGCGCCGACACTTCGCGGTGGCTCGCGTCCGAGCTCACCAACCCCTCGTTGATCAACCGGTGGACGTGGTTCAAGTTGATCTTCTTGTTCGAGTGGACCAACTCCCCCACCTTTTCGGCGGCCACGGACACGTTGTCCGCGGCGGCGCCGAAGGCTTGCTTCAAAGCTTCATCGAATTGCTTCGTGGCGTCTTCAACTAAAGTTGGCATGCTGTCCAATAGTGTGGCAAATATCAAAATGAGGCTGTCACTGCCACGTAAGCTACAGTATCCCCAGTTGTTTTTGTAATTACAGTTATTCCCAAACGTAGACCCGCATCGTTGCTACTGTATCGCGGCTATAAATACTTCCCAGTTCAAAGCTGTGAATTGTGGAAGTGAATATTCTGCCTATGATAATGCTGGTGGTTACATTTTGAGTTATTCTATTTCGGAAAACAATACCTTGGCTTCGTATATATTGTGAAATGCCATGTGCGCATGTTTTGGCTACTATTCCGCACAAGCGTGGGCAAAGCCAATCAAACCCGTTGGATGTTAAAACCCCTGAACATACGTTCGTTTTCCTTTACACATGCAAAGCCATGGCGTGAGGACATCATCATAACGTTACCGCAAAGCGTCCCCTGGGCACTCCTCCGTCGCATAGCGCTTAGATTAGACTCTAGCCCAACACGTAATGCACACTACAAGCTAACGTTACGTTGGAACACACACTTATACTGAATTATTACACTGCACCAAGCATCACGTTTCTCACAACTCGTCACCGATAAGGCGGGCCAACGTGGTGACGTCGTCCTTGGTGAGCGACACCAGTTCCACAGCGACGTCTTCGGCCATGTGCTGTTTGCTGGTGGTACCGGACAATGGCACAATACCTAAAGCCATCACGAATCGATACCATACTTGTTCGTGTGTAGCGCCTACGCGGGCAGCAATGGCTGCGACTTGCGGTCCGTGCACGAGCTTGGGGTTGCCTGTCAGCGTCCAGAAGCTCTGGTACTGGACGTTGTGTTCGCGACAAAATTGGCGCAACTCAGTATCGTACCCTGTGTCGGCATAGAAACGATTCTGGAGCACCGACGGCGGCACACTGGCCTCGTGGAAAAGTCGGGAGAATTCCTGGGGGGAGTACATGTTAGAGATGCCGATTCGCCGCGCTTTCCCGTCGCGATGGAGCTGCTCCATGGCTCGCCACACTTCCATGGTCTGCTCGTGGGTCGACAGTGGGCCATGGAGCACCAACGAGTCCACGTAGGTTGTTTGCAAATTGCGCATGGAGGTAGCAAACGACTGGTGTACTTGTTCGCCGAGCGGCGCAGTCGAGTCGTACGGCAGGGGCTGCTTGACATCTTGTCCGTTCAACGACGTGAATTTGGTCTGGAGGAAGATTTGGTCTCGAGTCACCTTGCCCGACGCGTACAGTTGTGCTAACGCGTCCCCAACACCCTGTTCAAAGTAGTGCTTGGGCTGACACGCCGTGTCGATGCCTCGAAACCCAGCTTGCACCGCCTGGACCACTAGTTCTGCCGTGCGTTCCTTCTTCCACGCAGTTCCGTACATGATCTTTGGCATTGAAAGCGACATGGCGCACGATTCGTCTTGTTGCGTGGCGGCGGCAACCACAGAGATGAAATATGTCACTCCTGACCAAGCCACCATGCCGTTGAGATTGTGACATACTACATAGTACTAGTACTTTTAATAGTACTGTACTAGTAGAACTATAAATAATACTAATACTATTATTATCGTATTACTATTACTATTAGTAGGATACTCGTACCATAGCGGTTTTTGAGAGTATAACTACTAACGTTATTTGGACGAGAAAATATTCATGGTGTTATTGTTGTGTTTATTCTAAACTGGAACGACATGGAGAATGAATCGACAGAATCAAATGTACACAAGAATCGACGTTTAATTAATGTGTGATTTCAAATAGTGTGATATCAATCACCATAGGACACCATTTTACTTACAAAATTCAGTACAAAGAATCGATCGATAGATTTGGCGATTCAGTACAAAACTCCACATTTTGGGTAAAAGGACAATACTGTAATGTTAAATCGATGCCATGAAAGGAAGATCCAGCTATTCATCTGTGCATGTATGTGGATTCGCCAAGGATGTTTTTATACTCCGTTAAAGTGCTGACCTGCAAAATGCCAGGCAATGTGGCGCCCCGGGGTGCAGTGGACAAGACTCGTCTACCTTGCAGTGTGAATAAGCCATACGATACAAATTATACCAATGTATTGCATTGCAAGGGTTTTCGCATCGAAACTCGATAGATTTCAGCAATAAATTGAGTCTTGGCTGGCCAAGACGCGTTCGCGAATAATAGAATCATTCAAATTCAGAGGATATTTTCTGGTGTCACCAGCTCGACGTCAAATAAAAAACGATTTTTGCAACAATAATATTGAAGTCGCTTCGCCCCCAAGATATATTGAAACCGTCCACGTCCCATGGAGAAAATCCATGGCACAATCGCGCTTTCTCGAATAAAAATACACATATTTTTATTCGGGTAAATCTGGAATCAGCGACGAGGCAGGGGATACCAGCAGCTCCACACGACGACCACCTTAATCATATCATGCTAACAATTCATCGCCTATGCCTTGTTTTTACAAAATCGCATACTAAATTTGTAAACAATTCATGAAACCAAGTATAATTTCGAAATATATCCTCTCGTCGTCAACAGTACATTCACAGCACGAGTACTTACTGCCCACATTTTTAAGCTTGGTTTTGGTATACCTATGTCAACGCGCCATTGAGTCGACGGATTTCGACCCTACGTGGAGCAAAAATGACTGGTTCAAAAGTATTGGCTCGCAAAATGAGTGGCGTGAATGGCTTGGGGGATGCGGGTCATTCTCCTTTCTGCCACCTCGAGACAGAATGCCGACCTCTGTCGAAGACGCCACGAAGCAATTCGATGAAGCTTTGAAGCAAGCCTTCGGCGCCGCCGCGGACAACGTGTCCGTGGCCGCCGAAAAGGTGGGGGAGTT